TTCGTTCCGTTCCTCGCCACAGAAACATTTGAGCGGGCTGATCCTCTTTTCTGATTTTAATCTGCAAGAACATCTCTTGAATGTCGGCGGTTACGGCGATCGGTTTTTCTCGGAATCGGAAGAGTATTCCTTGCAGCGACGTTAATAGGTCTGGACCCTCTAGTAGTTCTTGATTAAGGCTGGCATCGTTCGTAACGGCGGCTGCGTCGAAGACGAGGCGTAGCTTGCCAGGCTTGTTGGGATTCTTCACCGCAAAATGCGGTAGGTACCAGCTCTTCGGGCTCGCTTGTTCGGTGCCGTCGCATTGCTCCGCGTATCCTTTTTCGAAGAGGTTTTCGACTTGCGCTCTGTAAGCCGCGGCGAAGGACGGGTCGCGATCCATTTTTCTCTCTATGCCTTTCAGTCGTTTCAGAGCGTTGTCATAGCTGGGCGGCATCGTCACGTCGTCCGTACGCCATGGTAACCCCACCTCGTATCTTTTATTCGTGCGGCGCATTGTCTTCGTTACTATAGCCGCGGCGCGTTCGTCGTCGGGCTTTGTTCGATTTTTCGTCGATACTCCAAGCGCGTCGATGTCATAGTGACTTCTTATAATTTCGTCGAGGCGTTCTTCGTCGACGTCGTTAGTGCACGGGCGAAGCGGCGCATCTTCTGTGATTCTCAGATGTGACACTATCTTGTGATTTTCCTTGGTCGTGGCTCGAGGCAGGTTTCCCAGTATCACCCAACCTAGGCTTGTTCTTGACGCGACGGGCTGCGATCTTCGTCCGGCGCGTAGCTCCCGGGAAATCACGAGGTGCCAGTGGTCCGCGCCGATGAGGATTCGTGGTCGTGCTCGATCGTAGCACACCTCTTCGGCGCTCAGCTTACGTAGATGCGGGTGCTTCAGGACGGCCTCTGGAATCGATTGTCCTCTTATACCGATTCGGTCGATCGTTCTGGCTTCTAAGTCGAAGAAGTTCGTGTTAGTGCCCCGTATTTGAAGTTTCACTCGTTTGCTTTCTTCATCCCTTATGACGTTCTGTATGCTGTGCAGGTGGATGGTCTGCGTGGGGCCGTCGGCGCGAAGTTCCTCCGCTAATCTTCTGTCTATTAGCGAAACCGTCGAGCCTTCGTCCAGTAACGCGTAGGTTCGTACTTCGCCGGCCGGTCCCTTGATGACGACCGGGCACACCTTCAGTAGGACTTCTTTCTTTTTCTCGGAGCCGACTGTGGTGGCGACGGTCTCGACGTCAGTCTTCTTTTCGTGACACTCCTCGGTGGTGTCGGCGGACGTCGATGCGGGTGCAGGTGCGGCCTCCGCGTGCAGCAGTCTATGATGGGGTCGGCGACACTCGTTCTGGCCGCACAGCTTTGCTCTGCACGATGTTCGTCGGTGGCGCGCGGCTATGCACTTGAAGCATATTTTCTCCTTTTTGACAAGCGCCCATCGGTCGTCCGTGTTCATCTTGATGAACTGCGGGCACTTGGGTAGCTCATGATCGCCCCGGCAACAGCAGCAGTAGCGACGCTCGGTTGCTTGTGTGATGTTGTGCGTTGCCGCTCGTCGCGTTGCTCCCGTGTTGAAAGGTTTCTTATCTTCTTTTTTCGTAATCGTGCTGGGCGTTGACATGTGTGCATGTCGGAATGCTCTATTTGCTTCGCGCGTGAGAAACTTCGATAACGTTACGATCTCTGGTTCTTGATCCGATCCGTGGTCCTCTGCGTAGTCCCACCATTTTGAAGTGACGCATGGGTTGAGCTTCGCTACTATTTCTTGCACCAGCATTGGGTTTGAGAGGTATCCTTTCTTGTCAATTTGCTTCATAACGCAGACGATGTTTTGAACTTTAACCGCTAACGCGTTCCATTCGGCGGCGGTGGTTCCGAGCTTCGGTAATCTTCTTATCTGCTCGAGCACGTGGCAGATGATGCTTTCTGGTCGTCCATAACACTGCTCTAAAACTTGTACGATCTCAGCCGGGTCCGTAGTGGTTGCTAGCAGCGCCGATACTGTTTCTCTAGCTTCCCCCCTCAGGCAGTTTCGAAGTCGCGCCAGGTTTTCCATCGGCGTAAATTTGTACAGCTGCGTGGATTCGTTCAAAGCGGCCTTGAACGGTAGCCACTCCATCGGTGATCCGCTGAATAGGGGTAGTTCGGTTGCTTGTCTCGGCGGCGATCTGACGTGCATCATTTTCTCTAGCACGTCTGCCAGCTTTTCCATGCCCCGTTGCTGTCTTGACGGCGATCGTCGTCGTTGTGGCTGTGGTTCTGCAGCGTGCGCTTCGGGCTCCCCCCCTGCATTGATGTAGGGAGCGCGTCGTGATACGCGGTGTGGCGTTGTTCTCGTTGCTTCTCGTTCCAGTTGTGGCGCTGAATCTTGCTCCGTGTGTTGCGCGATGGAAGAGCTTTGGTTTAGCCATGTGTCGATGCGTTCCTCGACGTTCGTATCGTCGGCGATACTCTCGTTGTCCGACTCTTGTATAACCGCTTTTTCCCATGCCAGCTTCTTCTTCATAAGTTCCGTCTCCATACGGATCTTCATTTCCGACAGCCGTTTTTCGGCTTCGTATTCGGCTTTCAAAATTCGTGCCGCAGTGCTAGCCGAAGATCGAACCGATGCCGGACGCGTAGGAGTACGCTGCTTCTCTGTGATTGGTGCCGTGGCCCCTTGTTCAAAGTCCTTTTCTTCCCTGGTTCCGACGGGAATAGGACCCCTCTCGCGTTCAGCGGTCGTTGTTCCATCGACCACAGAGGGTGAAGCGGGTGGCAGCTCATATAATCCACGGCGTGCTTGCTCCAGTAACGCGTCGGTGGCGCGGTCGTCCTTAGTGGTGCTTCTTGTTCGCGGCATCTTGCTGTATCTTGAGACGTAGCTCTGTCCCGACGTACTCTGTACCTGACGTACTCTGTACCTGACGTGCTCTGTACCGACGTACTCTGTACCTGTGTACTCTACCTGACGTACTCTACCTGACGTACTCTGTACCTGACGTACTCTGTACCGACGTACTCTGTACCGACGTACTCTGTACCGACGTACTCTGTACCTGACGTACTCTGTACCGACGTACACTGTACCGATCTTGCAGTGCTTCGACGCTCGTAGAACACGCTTTCTTCTTTCCGGCTTCGGACGAGCAAACTGTAGCTCGGCGATCTTCCTATCCGGCTTCTGAAGAATCAGCGAGCTCCTTATCCGGCTCTTGAAGGACCAGCGAAAACTGTTGGGGATGGAAACAACAGTTTGGAGATTTGAAGGCGTTTATTCTTTCTTCTTATTTGCAGTACAAAGTACGAAAACGTTCGTAGGCATGCTTTCATACAAATCGGGTTTACTTAAGTGGGATTTGTTCGTTCGCACTTAGCTACTATCCTAACGCGTTAATTGACCTAATAGATTCATGTTATGTCGGTGCCCCTTCCACTATGCGGCGGGGAGGTCGCGGGGGGGTGCTCCCGTCGCTGCTGCCCGTGGTGTGCCCCCTCCACTCGTTGCGGGGGTGAGGTTGCGGGGAAGGGTCTTCATGTCCGCCGTCCGTAACACTAATGGTGCCCCACACTCACTCACACGAAAAAAAACTATCATCCCCACTTTACATGTAGGGGAGGTCGTCGTAATTAACGTGTATACCCATGCCAAATTTCAACTTTCTAGTACCAATAGTTTTTGAGCTAAACCGCGGACGGACGGACGAAATCCTAGAAATTAGTGAGACTGTTACGTTCGGTATAATCGTTTTCTTTAGAAATGTACTGAACTAATGCAACATACGGAATATACTAATGTACCGTATTTCATCAAATAAAATTTTTATATTATACCAATAACCTCATCACATCTACAAAGAGCTTTTTGTTCCGCAAGACGCCTTATTCCGTATTGCATACTGATTCATTAATACTGTGTTAAAAGCACTAATTGAGAATTAAATCACGGATGAGGGGCAACCGGGTAACGTCATCGATTTTCTGCGATTCTATACATAAGAAAGGCTTACGCCCCAATAATGAGAACATTAATGGTAGTATAATAACAATAAAGGTATACAATTTTCCGTTCGTGTATCTTTCGCCATGAGATTGTCCGATCAATCTTCCCGGATTAGACACATCCGTAAGGAATGATTAATGAAATACACAATTATTTCATTCGTGTCAGTAATGTAATTAATTTAACGAAATATTAACAACCATTTAGGTACATTAAGAACAGTTACATCACAAATATTATTATTATATCGCAGACGATGTTTACACGAAGGTTACGGAAAGTAGCTCGGTGGCGTAGGTGATAAGTATCGCGACACGCGATCGTTGTCGTTAAGCAACTTTCGCAAGGGTCGGTCAAGAGGTGGGTGGCAAAAAAAAATATTATCTCGAGCTACTGCGTGCTTCGGAAGGCACGTTAAGCCGCTGGTCCCGGCTGCATTTGCAGTCGTTAATACCCGCCAATCAGCATTGGGCCAGCGTGGAGGGTTCATGCTCCTTAACCATCCATAAGGAAGGCCTTCCTCACAAATCAATGATGACAGATATATTTATTATTGTTATGATGTAGTAAAAAGTACTGAATCATAAAGGGTTGTACTTGAAGCGCTGTTGACTTTCCATAATTACGCTAACATTAGCACAATTGGTCTTCTGCGAGTCATCAACCCCTATTTTTAAATAAAAACCTTATCGCTTTGAGCTTGAAGTTATAATGCAACACTTTAACCACCACCATAACTGATAAAGGGGCGAGAGCAAACATGTTATGGGAACGCGAGTAAGAGATGTAAGGTACACCCAATAGTGATAGAACAACGTATGTCAGACTGGTTACATTATATAAAACAGCACATTCAATATTGCTAGTGTTTGTTAACGTTCCCTAACGCATAACATCTACACCTACGAACTAAACTACAAACAGAAGAATAATAAGCTCAAAGCAAAACCAACCAAAGAGTGCAGTATCTATTGTGCAATATATAAAATTGAAAGTGTTATGTACTGACCAAAATTATTATACTGACCGCGTCTAGGAAGTTGTTGTACTTGTGGTACTCCGGTCTGTTTTTCTCGCAGAACTGCCGGAAGAGCAGCTTGCCTATCGGCTGCTGGTCCACCACGTAGTCGTAACCTACATCTGGAACAATGGAAAATTCCAAGTCAATACCAATCATATAGTTTCAATTGTCAACAAAGCACTAGAAAAAGTTCAAAATACGTCTAACTGGAGCGGAACACTGGTTGATTTGACCTCAAAAAAGGTTGTGGTCACAACCACCCAAAAACAGGAGTCCTCGAAATAGTGCATTCCTGCAAAGGCGATCTTTACCAAAATAGTGCATAACATTATTCTGTGACCAAGATTTGTACAGTGTATAGTGTACAAGTGTGTTTCAATGTGGGCAATCAACCTCAGTAGATCTTATACTCGCCATTTTGTTGATATTTCAAATGGAGTTATTTTTTTTCATTAGAAAACTTATAATGGTTAAATGGTTATATTAAATTAGTTATACAATTATCCAACAAGGTACTTTTAATTGTTGCCGTTAGTAAAATATTTAAAACTCGCTGCCTATACAGATTTCGTTCTATCACAGTTATTGGACTAATGCAATTTTTTTTTATTGACTTTCAACATGCAATACTTAGTGACAGATATTTTCATTTACATCATAGTTTGTACAGCAAGTGTGTATGCTGTATAGGATTGATTCATTTCAATTTTATATATGCAAATATCATAAAGAGAAAAGATTAGATTGTTTATTTGTTTGCATTAAATAGGATGAAACTATCGGACCAATTTTGAAGATTCTTTCACCTAGGGTAGCTAGAGTGTAAAGCAGCTGGAACACAACAAGCCTCTCGATCAAATTTCCCCCAACTTCAACGAATAGGTTGAGTCTCGAAAACTAGTTAGCATCCAAAGCAATAAACCAGATAGGGTAATAAGATAATTAAAAAAATATATATCATGAATAATTGTATTTAAATTTCAGACACAATTGATTGCTAAAGATTTATGGAAGTCAATGAATCTCCATCATTCAGTTGAAATAAGTCGTTTAAATCTTAGGCGAGATTGAGTAATTTCAATGTCGCCGCCGCCGCTCTGTCAATAACGTAAAAGATGGGATCTTAAAATAACATTAATGAAATTGTTGGAAAATAATACCTTAAAATAAATAATAATGAGAATAATAATTTGTTTACATATATTGTATTGAAAACGATAATATTCACCTTCTATACTAACCTTATGATACTATATCGAAACAATTAAGAATCAATGGACATGTATTGATATAATAATATTGCCGTGTATGATTTAAGTCATACATAATATAATTATCATCAGCTTCAGTATTACATTCACATTCTCACATCATATTGAGCTATCTATGGCAACAACACTGCCTCGCTTTAATTAAAAACGAAAGAACAATTCCATCTTCCAAAAAAAAACAAAATCACTTTTAATGGTGGCCTGTAAGTGGACAATCACTACAAAGAAACACAAGATTAACTTAAGAATCACAAACAAAAATGTCGTATAAACAAACAACATTGAAATTTTATTAGAAGTTATCACTGCACGTAAAGGATATTACTGTTAATCTATGATAATATAACAATAAACAGAGAATATATGATTTGTTTGTTTCTTTGCATTGAATGAGCTCTAAAATTACTGGAACAATTTCTTTCACCCACGGGAAGCTATATTTGCACATGGTTAACATAGGCTATAATTTACATGTTGCGACCCTATGCTAGGCCTGACTCGCCCTGCCTGCTCTTCAGTGCTGTGTAGGGACATGATCGGACTGGACACCGGAGGGCGCATAGATCCACGGGGGGGTGGTGCGATCCACGATAAGTGTTATGCCAGTGTGGGACCTACCAATTGGACGGGTAGGGATTGGAAATGCGCAACTGTGCATTTCCAGTCTCTAGTCGGGGGTAGTTCGGCCAGCATTGCACGATCTCGCCCTATCTGGGAGGTGCGTCTCAAATATCTTTCAGACACCCCGAACCCGCAGAGGGTCTGCCCTTTTCATGGCGGGCCAAAATGGGGGTCAACAAATAAACCGCCGGCCACGCGCTAGGGGAGAGCGGGTATGCGTAACGCATTTCTCAGTGTCAAAAAATTGGTTACGATTTGAGTGGGCGAAGTCACGACACAACAGCTGGTCAAATTATAAGTTCACTATGAACTCATTCTTCTTATAATGTCTAGCAACTGATAACATCTCTTTGGCATTAAAAGTATTTTCAATCAGCGTCCTTTAATTTTCTTGCGATTCCATAGATAAGCATCAAACAAGCTAAATTTATTACGCATGAAATTTGAAATCGTCAAATCTGCAAATCGTAATTGAAATCGAATGGGAACATAAAATTTATGGGTAGCCGTTTGCTTCCGCGGAGCACGACAAGACGTTAATATACGAACAATAAATAACACGACTCGTAAAGAGAATGTGAATGAATTTCATATGTGACGCGACACATTACTTCAGACGTCACAAAATGTAAAGGCACACCGAGTACAAAGATTCCGTTAATCGCGTACAATATAGGGTTTTAATTAATATACAGACATGATGTTAGGGTTACCAAGTGTAAAAATAAAAAGATGACTTAGTACTTATGATATTTATACTGAACACCAGACATTATCATTATCACCAGACTATTAATGTCCGTAATACTCGAGCTAAGGCCTTTCAAGGATGTAATCAAATCAAAATAAAGTAGGGAGAATGGGACATGACTACGCGAGCCCAGTGCGGATTGCTGAGCTTAAGTTGCCTTCCGAAACATGGAGGAGCAGGAGATAACAAATTTTTGGTCACCCATTCTATGACTGCTCTAGCCAAAATTGCTTAACAACCGTATTGCAAACCGGGCGTGCTAACCACTGCGCCGTCGAGCTCCTCATCCTTAGAGTCAGCTTTAGACAATCCATTTTGTAATCCATTTCTAAAAGTAGTTTACTTAGATGTTTATTGTCACGCTGTTGCCAATCATTCATTACATAGTAAACATTTTAAGTCGCTGTCTGTCGTCCCATTTGAGGCTTTCTAACACCTCTTAAACCACGCAACGTATATCGGTTTATAGGATTGGATAAGAAATTTTTCAGGCCGTCTCATTAGTTTGTAATTAAAGCTGCTACTTTTACTACATTAACTCGTGTAATTAACAAATGATGAAGAAATACATATGCTATAAAAATAAAATAATATATTTCAACTGTGTAAAAGGGTCTAGTTTCTTTGATTGTAACATTTCGTTTTAGGAATTTTTGGAAGCCCTGTATGCATAGCTATCTCACCACATATGATATTTCAGAGGTGTGTAATTAAAATGTTTTGAAGAGGGTCGAAGCCTGCGTATTAATATCATAATTATACTATATTTAACACTCATTATTTCACTTACAAATTATTTTAGCTCATCTAAAATATGAAAAGGTTTCTGTGAAAGGTAACTAATTGGATATATAAGCATTTTTATCAAATCGAGAAAGATAATTATCAATTTTCTGGTACATTATTATATGTATGACAAATCAATAGACGACCACCTTGGTTGAGTGGCTTGTGTACCGATTCTAAGGTATCATAATATCTAGTTCAATACTCGTCCAATAAAAGCAGAAAACGATTTATTTTTTATCTCAGGATCGTATTACCTATTTCAATTTTCCGATGAAGAAAAGTAAATAGCTTTTATTCCGTGTCCTCGAGTAATATGCTAACCAACGAGCATTTCATTTATTAGTTACTAGTGGCCGTCAGCGACTTCGTCCGCGTTTTCCATTATTTCTTCGCTCCTAATAGTTGCAGCGTGATGTTATATAGCCTAAAGCCTTCTTCGATAAATGGTCTATTCGACACAAAAAGAATTTTTCAATTCGAACCAGTAGTTCCTGAGATTAGCGCGTTCAAACAAACAAACTCTTCAGCTTTATAATATTAGTAAGTAAGTATAGATGATTGAATGACATCGCCTTTATATCTATACATGTCCGTAAAGAGATATTAATTACTATCACAGGTGCTGTTTCTAGGGTGGAAAAAACGGTCAATGACCTAAAGTATTATGTGAGTGTTAAAACGATTAATAATCAATCAATATCAAAGTACAGTATGACGTGTTCGAATATCTCAAAACATGTATGTTTGAGTACCTACTCAACGTTATATGACGTAAAAGAGCGCGTTTGTTTATAGTACGCGGATGAAAACACACAAACACACAGACGCTAGACTACAATCACAGACTAAAATAAATGCATCACTAATAATTTTAGCCCTTGATTTATTAGTACCGACTGACTGACCGCTGAAATAATTAATTTTTAAACTATATATTGTAAGTAGTAATAATTAATACTTTATTTTTAGCTGATACCTAACGAGTTTGTTTGCCTAAAGTCAAGAGTGTGTTATTGATATTTTGGAAAAACAAATCAATCGAGTATTTTTAGGATTATTTGGTTAACTGAGTTAACTCAGAGTCACCACTTTAAACAGAACTTTGGTCTCTTGTTAATTGATCGACATAAAGACAATCTTAATATCAAATACTGACTATAATTCTTAACCTCCTTATATTGGCAAACTAATCGAATAAAGAAATAGGCCACTTCAATTATACTTCGATTAAAAAGCCACCCGCTAAGCAACACGGGCATCGCATCAGTATCACGAACAAAAGCCTTAGTTAGCACCACATCGCCGCAGTGGCACTTCCATTAATCCTAGTGTAGCCCAATAAAACTGCAATCGAACTAAAAGCATTGCGAAATATCTCATGGGATGGCTTGTAGTTTGTAGTAACGGCCCTTGACATAGTTATCGAGAGTCGATTGATCTACACCGATGTATATCAGATGATAGTTGCTACTTCAAGTTGTAATTGGTCCTTTGAAATATACTAATGATTTCGTTCGGCGATGACCTACATAGTTTAGAAAAAAGGTAAATAAGCACGAAATATAAAATCATAAACTTTAGCAATCCAAGTATGATTCTTCGTTTTTCGGAAAAATAAATAAAATAATAAATAGGATTTTCTCGATTAAGAAGTTCATTTGTAACTAAGTTAATATAATAGGTTGGG